TTAAATTTTTGAATGCCTGAATGCGAGAATTCACTGGCAATTGGCAGGGGGTAAACTTGAATTGTTAGACTCAAAGTTTATTACTGTGAAACCACCTGCAACATGGCTTTACGTTTCATGTGTCTGAATGGTATCATTTGAAGTAAGCATTGAAAATGAGTTTAAAAGATATCACTGTTGATTAATTCATGCACTAAAGTAGGTTCATATGGGTATTGATGTTTGTCGCAAAGATGCTGTTCTTAACTGCAATTTTTATGGGGATATTCTTGATCTCAAGTTTCTTGATCTGTTAAATTGTAGCAATTACTAACACCAGCCACAAAAGTGTTATTAAGAACAATGTCAACATACCTGTCATAACATGCACCATTTCTCTGATCTGTCTCTCATATTATGGAGCATGGTAACTCATAAACTTTGTTTGACTTGCTTTAACTTATTCACAGAAACTTTTGTATCATTCCCATATTAGCCTCACATTCCATAAAGCGAGCACAACTGTCCATTTTTGATGAACTTGATAGCTGCCTTCAAATGCATGTGGTGGGTATGGTGAATGCTTACCTTAATATGTCAAGTTTTCCACTTTGTGCATTTCCAAAACTTGTTTTTATTCTCTATGATGTTCTGTTGAAATTCTAACTTGTGTCAAGTCTCCACCAGTTGTGTTTGGGTGNCACCTTGGCCTGTTGGCCATTATTGAAGGCAATAAGTGCCCTTTTTAGCCATCCATTATGGTCCATATACTGTTATTGTTAGTAGGCTGATTGCAACATAAAAAACAACACTTCAAAAAGACAAAAAAGTTGAAAAAATCAAAAAAATCAAATAAATCAAAAAAATCGAAAAAATCATTTATTTTTGATTTTTTTGATTTTTTTAAAAAAATCAAAAAAATTGCCAACCCTGGTCAAGTCTCCACCAGTTATGTTCAGTTGTCATCATGGGTTACATGTGATGTGTCTAGGTTCTAATTTGCACCAAGTCTCCATTGTGCTGTATTCAGTTGTCTAGATGTGCCGCCTATAGGTCAATATTCCTGCTGCTTCAAATTGATTAAGGCTGTTAAAGAACCTCTGGATTCCTGCCAAGATTTCTGAACATTCTGACAACTTCATGTGACTTTAGTTTCTTCATTTTTAATTTCTATCTTATACTTTTCTCATATTTTCTTCACTAGCTCATGCCAAATTTTTCTTGTCAATTTTTATTCTATCATTGAATGCAGACTTGAATTTGAGTTGAAACTACTTCTACCATGTTGAAGAAATTGACTGTAGTTATATTTATGTATATTTTCATGGTAATAAAAACTTGAAGTTTCTTTACTAAAGAACCATTCTTTTGGCTAGATAATTGAACATTTATGATGATATTATGGGGTTATTAGGTAAAAATATGCATAGGAGCATTGGGTATGGTTCATATAGAATAACAAATTCTTTATTGATTGTTGTAAGCCATCTATGTATAAGGAAACTCTTTATCCAACTGTTTAGAAGGTTGAGTCTGGCCCCAGGCTCTGGACTGATGTTTATTGCTATTTTTGTGACACAAGGAGGATACTTTGCCTTGAGCTTGTCCATTCTCACTCATTAGGTGCTAGTTATGTGTGATTGAAACGAAAATGTTTGTCTTTTAGTTTTATTAAATGACGTTGATGTTATTGTTTCGTTTTAAGATTTAAATCTAATGGTGGTAGAAATCTCGGCTATTCTTTCCATATGACGCAATTAAAGAAGATTAATCTTAATATATGGACATGTATTTTCTTACACCTTAAGTTGTGTATTGGATTTGTGTGCTGCTTTTTCTAATTGAAGGTATTAATTCCTGGACATAAAGTCTAAGTATTTGAATATATACCTTGACTGTATTTTTCTAGTAGTGTATTTTGGGCCCGTGCACAGTGCGTACACTGCCCTACATGACCGTCTACGTGTACGTTGACGCGCGGTTCACGTGTGCGTATTCCTGTACATGTACGGACTACTATTTTTTGCACACATGTGCGCGCTCGTGTTCCGTTTGGTGGAAGTGACGCGATGTGGCAACGTTGCAGCAGCGGCACAAATGCTGCCCCCTCTCCAAATTTTCCCATGCCCCCTCCCTCCGTAGCTTGCCTCTCCTCCATCTCTAACACTTCCCAACTGTCGCCATCTTGTTTCTCTATGCTGACGCCTATCATCTTTCTTTTTATAAGTTATGCTTATTACGGAAAGTGCATAACAGAAAATCAACGATTTTATTTGTTTGTTGGGAAATCGTTCTTATCGTGTTTGGCGTCTGGCTTCTCACACCCTCCTCTTCCTGCCTTCTGTCACATCTGCCCCGTTCATTTTGCTCCATTTCCTCCTTACGTGTCAGTTCGTATGAATTATTGTGTGTATTACTTCGTATATAATATCGTTCTTCTTCAATACCCCATACTTTTCCGTGTTTAACAAGAAATTATTGTGTGTTGTATGAAATTTAAGTCTGTGATGGCATGATGCTGATAGTGGTGATGCCTTGCGTGTTGACGACGATGGTGCGCTGCTAAGGTTGCCGCGGCTGCTCACACCGCCATAGCTGTCCGTCTGTTGGTGTTGCCGGGTTGTTTCTTGTGTAACTGCTATTATTTCTGTTTTTACCGTCTCGTAACGGCACGTGTTTTGGCAGTGCTTTTATTTTGAGTCGAAAAACGTTCTGTGCTATTGGTGACGTGTAAGTTCTTCATAAATTTCCACGCATGTGAAGTGAAACTTATGCTTTCCATACGATGCTCCGCCGCCTTCACAGAAACCGCTGGCGCTAGGAAGTGTTCCTCCTGTCAAGTTTACGGATCAAGCGTCCTACGGGACCAAATATCCTTTGTGCCTTCGTGATTATAAGAGTGAAGATTTGTACCTCGTCGAGGGTGCTCTTGAAAACTTTGTTATCGTGCCGTAATATGCATCTCTTGTTTGTATTTTGTGGTAAAAAAAATTCAGTGGTTAATTTGGCATAGATGATAGATCGTATCAGTCGTCCAACTTCCTGTGAGAAAAATAACCCAAAGCTGAAGTTGCTTAATTGAAATAAATTTAATTACTAGATCAAAAATAAGACGGAACTCTTCTGAGTTCTGAGCCTGGGAGCAGGATAATTAATTATAATTAATTTCTTATAATTAATTTCTAGATATTGGCTGCTGATGTTTTTAATAGCATTCTATATAAAAAGAGAAGAAGTAGCATTCTTGGACTCTGTTATTTGTTTGAAATACTTTGCTTTTCTTCCTCATGAAATCTTTTTTAGTATCTTTCATATTTAGCATTGAATTTGAAAACTAAACTTAGTTTAGGTTTGAATTTTAACATGGTTTAAGAAAATATTTTTATCTGAAATCTTGTGGCTCAATTGTGCTCTTCTGTGGATGGTAGATATTCTTCACATGTAAATGGCAAGAAGCAACAAATCAGAAAACTGCATCACAATAGTTTTTAATCAGCTGATTTTAACTTATATTAAATGTTTATTACTGATGGAAGCAGGTATTTATTGCAAATTTTCAGCTGTATAAATCGTTTTCTAAAATTTATTTATTATTTGTTAATATCATGGTGACTCTGTCATTCCTATGACACAAAAACCCTGGATTAACTTTTTCTCAATGCTATCTATAGTATGAAAAGTTTCACTACTTTGACCAACACAGTCTGATGCCTTGACACAACCTAAATTTATTTTTCATCGTGATAGATATCTATTATCCACAGATGTGTATGTAATTAATATACACATCAGAGTGACATTTTTTCCTGATCTGTACCAAAGAAGTACTCCAATTCAAGTTAACAGTAGCCCCTTGTCTGCTTGCTTGATCTATACAAACAAGCATTAAGTTTGCTATGGCATAACTAACTAACTGATGTAGAGACTTCTATGTGATGTGGTAATGAAGATGGCTGATATTTCAATATGAGTTGTGCATCATATGGAGGGCAATTATTTGAATCTAATTCCTTTACCTATGCCTAAATATCATTTTCTCTAATTGTGTGCACAATTGTCTACATGTGACAAATGTATACCAATGACCTAAATATTAAGCATAGAAAATGGCAAGATGAATTTAATGTAAACATTGCAGGATTCATGTTATCCAAAATGTTTCTTAGCAGGCTAGCACTGGTGATTTAATATATTGTAGGATTATTGTTAGCAAGTAAGCTGTCACCTGGAATATCACGGAACAAGCATCCATGCTGGATGGTTGCACATTCATCAATGCACAGCTGCTGGGTTGGCTTCCTTGCACCTAAGATGTCATCACACATGCAAGACAATGTTGAGCTTGGTATGGACGGGAAAAGCTGTCACGATTATGTGTTTTTTATGTCATAAGCGTATGGCTTTTCCCCTCTGTCCCAAGCTTCATTCGGCAAACTGCACTTCTTCCATGATCTGGCACTGCTCCCCTCGTCCCTGCACCTCCAGCACAGCCACATGCACAGCGCAGAGAAATCATTAAGTTGTCTAGTCCACGCAGCTCTGCAATGGTTCTTATAGTTTTAAGATACTATTTTTTGTATTGTTCAGAGTGCAGCAGCTTCTGAATAATCCTGTGCTCAATGGTTCCTCCATTCCTCTTACTCTGCAGTGGAAACTTAATTTTTTTTATAATGTAAACAGTGATTCATTCATGAATGTATGTGAAAATCAGTGGGAAAGAAGTAAAGTAAAGTGTAGTTGATCTCATTTGGATCCTGGAAATGTTATCTTGACAATTACCTGTGTTCTGGTTTTTTACAATGTTCTGGAAATCTATTTACAGACTTTGGAAGCAACTCATTGTCTTAGGATTCTCAGCTCCTATTTACCCATTTGTATTGTATCTACTATTTGCATTTGTATCATATTAATGTTATCCTTAATATAATTGTTTGGAATATATAACTTATCATTCTTTTTCCAGATTTGAGTGTAAATTATCATTATTTAAGCTATACAATTTTTGTTTTTTCTGCTTCTACATTATGTAGATTTATGTAACATAAGTCAGGAATTCAAATGCTACAGAATGAATATTTATGATGCAAATGGTTTATTGCTGTGCTAAATGAATTTTGATAAAAGTGTACATCACAGTGCATGGTAAGTTTCATCCAGTAATCTTAATAAAAAAAAGTTCTCTTGCAAGGATGTGCAGGGCTTATTTATGTGATGAAGATGACACAATGTTTCACTGTTGCTTTATCATGTGACATCAATATTTCTCTATTGCATTCTAAGAAGTCATAAGCAACAGCAGGTACACAACAAATTACCTATTCACCTTAGTAAAGTGTCTTTGGTCCACATGAAATGAGAATGAGGCAGTTGCACTGAATTGTATGTCATTTTCAAGTTAATACCAAAATTTAAGTTAGAAATTCTAATTTTCAAAACTCTTAAATGAAAAGTACATGGACGGGAATGAATATTATACAATAACCTGCCATGCTAAAAATGTTAACTTTGTATATCTTTCCTGTGCAGGCCTTGTGAGCTATGCATTCAAGACTGGTAGCTGCCACCAACAGTATGATAGGCAAGAAAAGAGCCTGGTCTATGATTATCCAGCAGCTGAGTACCTAGCAAAAAGTTATTCTTGTTGAAGAATGGATAATTTCACTGGTCTCTTTGGAGATGCAGATTTAGGGGATTTGGATTTGGGTGTGGACTCCTTTGGAGGTCCCCCCGGTCCTACACCAGTGAGCGTATCTGACCTCGACCTGGCCAATTACTCCCAGCCAAGCTACACTAATATTGGCAGCAACCCTGAGCAGCAGCAGGCACCGTCCCAGCAACCTCAGAAAGCTGGTCATTTGTCTTGTCAATCTCAGCCTCAACCCCAACAGCTGCAACCCCAAGGAGGGGGTATTCCTGGGGGACAACCAAGTTTTGGAGTTCCACCTCAAGGCTACCAGTATGGCTCCTCAGGAGGAGGAGCTCCCCAGCAGGCACCCATGGGGCAGTTCTCTATGGGAGGTCAGTACCGGCCTCCTTACCACAGCCAGGACATGTATGGCCAGTCAGCCATGCCCAGCTGGGGAGGCAACTCTGACCCGTTCAGTGGTCCCCCATCCCAGCCTGGCTACCCCATGCCTGGGTCTCAGCCTGGAGGGCGTCAGATGGGCGGGTATCAGGGTGGACCTATGCAAGGCATGCCTAACAGCCTTCCTCCTGGTCCCCCCCAGCAGCAGTCAGCGCAGCCAGGCAGCATTGGTCAGAACTACCCTGGGCACGGTATGCCTCAGGGATACCAGGGACAACCAAGCCCATACGCGACAGGGCCGCGCCCGTCGTACCCGAGCTATGATCCTCAGCGTGGGCTGGCTCCTGGAGGCTCCATGATGTTCCCCGGGGGACCTCATGGTGGTTCACTAGGAGGTCCTGTTGGTCCCCACCCTGGAGGACCTTTGGGTCCTAGTGGTTCTCATGGCCCTGGCAACCCTCCGCAGCAGTACGTGGTACGGCCGGCCACTCAGCAGCCCCAGCAGTACGCTAACTTCCCTCAGCCTAGTGCCTCTCAGATGATGGCCAGTCACGGTTCTCCGGCAGACATGTCACGACAATACAGCACTCAGCACCCACAGGCACCAAGCCACCAGATACCTAACGGCAGTCCAGCGTATAGGCCTTCATACACCCCATCTGCCACCCAGATGTCCCCACACTCACAGATGTCCCCTCATCCTCAGATGTCCCCTCGTTCTATGTCTTCCCCTCACCCCACATCATCTCCTGTCCCTAATCAGTCAACTTCAGGTGCTGCAGGGCAGGCAAATAGCGCTACAACGTCGAGTGGTGGGGTGGGTTCCAGTCTCCAGCACCTTGAGAATATGGTGAAGCCTTCTATGGGGGCGCCACCGAGCTCGGCACCTACGAGCCAGTCGGGCTTGCAGTCGTCCATGTACAGCGGACCCTCTGGCATCCCTAGCCCCATATCAAACAGAGGAGCCCCGATGTCGCCGGGTGTCTCTCGGCCTGTTGGCCCCTCAATGAGTCCTGTTATGAGCCCACGGCCCCCCATGTCTCCTCAACAATGGGGTACTCAAGCTAGACCTCCTCAAAACTACAACATGCAGCCTGGATACCACTCCAGCATGACAGCTAGAGGGCCTGCGCCAAACATTGCCCAGTTGCAAGAAAATATGCATCCTGAAAGTATTGGTAGTGCAAGTGATAGTAATACGTTGACTCAAAATTGTGGCAATGTGAATAGTGCTGCTCAGTTGAATGGACCTTTATTAAATGTCAGTGTTAATAACAGTAATAGTACTACCGTTGTTAGTGATAGTGTTAAGGATAGATTAGAAAACCAGCAAAGTTTGTTGAACATTAATGGTCCAGCTAGTGGGAAGCTCAGTATACCAGCCAATGTGCCTCAATCAACTTCAGCTATGCCTGCTGTGGACTCAGGTCTGTCAGGTGTGACAAATGTCGCTGCTGCCACTGCTCCTTCCAGTATTCCGAACCCTCTGGGAGTCGTGCAGCAGCAACAGCCTGGAGTTCATGTGCCTCCTAACACAATGCCAGGAAACACAGCCCCTGGTGCGATGCCTATTGGTGGTGCCGCTGCTCCCAACGGCATGATGTCGCACAGACCGCCTGGCTCTTTAGCTCCATGTGGTCCTTATCCTCAACAGTTCCGCATGAATGGACCTCACCAATACCGGCCTGGCAGCCCGCTGAACAGCATGCCTCATCACCAGGGCATGGCTCCCCGACAGCCGTCGATGCTGCCGAACATGTCTCAGTCGATGATGCCTCAGCCTCATCATCCCTCCAATTCCAGCGCACAGGCCATGAGCGTCGCCCCCAACGTCAGCGCTCACCAGATCAACTCGATGGCGCCTTCTCAGATCTCCACCGCTCACCTGCCGCGCTCGCCGCAACCCGTGTCGTCCGCCAGCCAGCATTTTAGTATGGGGGGTATGACAGACCTGCCGTCACCTCACTCCTCCCACACCAACCATGCTATGAGTAGACCGGCCACTGTTTCGTCGCCCGCCATGTCCCAGCAGTTGTCCGCGAGTGCTGGCTCTTCCTCTGGCTTGATGAGCCAGGCAAACTTGCAGGGTTCCGGCATGATGTGCTCGTCGCCCCTACAGTTGCAGCCATGCGGGTCCCCACAAATGATGCAGCAGGATTCCTATTTGCAGAGTGGCTCGCCAAGCACCAATACTGGGTCGTCTCCGCTACCCAACAACTCAGGTGCTGACGCCACAAGGCTGTCCCCAATGGGGACTGGTATGTCATCGGGATGTCCGACGCAGGTGCCGAGTTCGGGGAACACAGAACAGCATCCAGACAGCAGCCCCCACCACTTGAGGCCCAACAGTCAGGGACCCATGATTCAAAATTTAGATGGCATGAGTGGTGGCCCCTTGTCGATGGGAGGCTCAAACCAGAGATCGTTTTCCCAGCATGGAAACATGGGATTCGGAAATACGAGTTCAATGGGCCCAGCCCACATGCGACCCAACTCCTCATTAGGGATGCACGGCAGCAGCGGGGCGCCAAGAGCTCCCTCCCCGTGTGGGCCTAACGGGTCCCCAGGCATGTCAATGGGCGGTGCCAGCCCTATGATGCCATCTTCAGGGCCCGGGCTTGCTGGCCCACCCCTGCATGACCCAATAATGATGCAGCAGAGGTCAGCCGGGCCGACCCCCACTCCAGGCAGACCTGAGATCCCCAGTCCTCTTCGAGCCCCGGGCTCTCAAATGCCCATCGGGACTCCAGATGACGCAGATATGGTGGGGTCTGGGTCTTCCCCCAGCACTCAGCCGTGCGGGGGATCAGGCGGTGGCCAGTTAGGCACGGCTTCTCCCATGCTTCACGGCAGCCCTCAAATGAACCAGGGGAGTCCTGTGCCATTAAGACCGCAAGACCTCAACCAACCTATGGGTGGGGTCACTCCACTGGGAACCAATGGTCCTGGCCCAATGAATATGGGAGGATCCAACGGTCAGATGCTTCCAGGACCACCCGCCATCAGTCTACATGCGCCTATTATTGGTCCCGGTGGGATGATGTCCAGTATTCCTTCCGCGGGTCCATTAGGGCCCGGGATGAGACCTGTTGGCCCGAACATGATGGGGCCTCGGGGACCAAGTGGGCCAGTGATGATGCCTCTCATGCCTGGTCAGCCGCCGCCTAACCTGCAGTTTGAGCTGCAGCAGTGCCAGCAGCAGCTGCAACAGCTCTATAAAATGCCTCAAAATCTCCAAACGCAGCAGCAGGTAAGCACAAAAAATTGCGCCCGCAGCGGTGTGTAGTTCATACCAGAGTTTCACTTGCTCAAGTTAAAAGCAATATATTGTATTATTTCCTGAATATTTCCCGTATACAAATAAACTGAAGGTTAGTGTACTTCCATTTTATGATGTTAGGGCTATATTTTCAACTGATATTTTCAAGTAGATGCATCTCCTTCGAAAATTTCAGTCGGGATGTGACCTCGATAAATGTGTAAAGGCAGGAGGAATCGAATCCTGAATGCGGTCAATTAACACGCTTTATATATTTATGTGTTTCCATCTTCGGCGATACTAACTTATCGACGCTCTAGCGTCGTTCGCATAACTTTTTGGTCTTATTTTTTAATTGTTAATTAATGGGAACGGCTTGTTAATTATTCAACATCGTTTTCGCTTCCTAGATAAACGACATACAGCAGCGCATCAATCAACTCCAGCAACAACAACAACAGTTCATGCAGTCGCAAGCAATGTTTGTGGTGAGTACTAAAGACCTAAGACTTGAGCGTTTGTTGTTCATGTAGTAAAAATTTATATTATCGTTATTCACTTGCACCACGCACCTTCTTTTATCTCTGCAGTAGTCGGTGTTAGTGTGTTGGCTATAAACTACTACTAATTATAGCCGTGCTTCTAGGCTTGGCTATGCAGGCATTTCAAGTAGTATATGATTTTTTTAGGCAATTGAAGTGCGGTAAGCTAATTTAGCGTCATATCTTTCCCATACATCCATCGTGGCCTGGGACTACTAATATATACTAAGGATACAGCGCCGAAGTCATTATTTGAGCTCACATTAACTGTGATCTTGTTAATGAAAAATATAGCTATGCGTGTTATGTATAAATGTTAGATTTTTCAATTGTGTATACGATAGTAAACCAGCAAACGCAGCAGCTGCTTCGGTGATATTTGTAGGAGCGCTGCGATACATTATTCAGCATTGAGATAACATCGCTGTGTGCTACGACACGCTCGTATCCCGACACGCGGCCCAAGAGGCTCTGGTGCTGCTGGTGTGCGGCCGTACGTGGCATGCGACGCGCCCCTAACTGGACACCGGGCGCATCTAGGGCGCTGGCTGCTCTCGCAGAACGAACAAAAAATGAGTTTTTTTTTTTCTATCGTGCGATTCCGATAGTTTTTGTTCACAGGACAACCGTCCATGGCCGCCGTACACCCGCGGACGCTGATGTACACCCGCTAAAGACTGCCTCAGTTTCATGTTGCATGCCAAGAATCTTTCTACTCTCTGACTGTTTACTAGGGGAAAGCAACGATACTAAGAATAACGATTTTCCAAGGTCATCCCTTCAAGACTTGTTAAGCATATAGATCACGGGTAATGCACGTATTGCTAATCTTCAGTTATTATACGTGGAACTCCAGGAAAAATGTAAGGGATTTTTTGCGTTTATTTAGCAGCTCCGTACTGACGCTAGCTAGGCCTTGGGAGGGGCCCGGCGTGGCTGTTGTGTTGGGTTTGTCACGGGGAGAAGGGGGGCGAGATCGTCAGTAATGCCCACCGCAAGAGCAGCGAGCGGCCGGCATCAAACAGCTGTATCGATTATGCCGCTGAGATGCCGCCGCGCCGCTCTGCATTGCTGCTGCTACTCTGCGCTTCTGATGCTGGTGATGTTCTATGCTTCTGATGCTGCTGATGCCAAGCGTCGTCGCTGCTGCTGCTGCTCTGCGTCGCTGCTGCTGCTGCTCTGCGTCGCTGCTTCTGTTGGTGATGCTCTGCGTCGCTGTTTTTGCCGACGATGCTCCATGTTTCTGCGCTGCTGGTGCTGCTCCGTGTCGGTGGTGTGTTGCTGCGTTCCTGCTGCTTGATGTCTTTGCTGGTCCTGCTGCTGGGGCGCATGTCAATCACTCGAAGGTCTGGCAGTGCACAATTGGTCCTCACTGATGCGAGTCGACAGCGCACCAGCCAACCCGCCCAGAAGGCTACCCTCGCGAGAGAGCAGTAGAGCTTGTGGCCATCTACTATTCATGGTGGTTGTAGCGATAGAAAAACAATTACATAACATTCCATAGTTAGACCAAACCTCATCACTTCTATTATCAACCTTAAGTGTCAGTTCGCATGTTTTCTTACGCGCGTCGTTGCATGCTGAACTCATGGTCACTGAAATGCGTATTTTTGGTGCAGCAAATACGGCGCTCACTGCAATTAATATCAGGGGGGATTTATTGTCAATGTTTTGGATTATTATCAAACTAACAGCCTAAGAGCCTTTCACTCATCAATTTTGTGAGCGAAGTTGTTCTACTCACCTTAGGATTGCTTATATTTATTTTCAATGACGGCAGTTATCGTCTCGGCAAACCCAATGCGTCTTATTACGATGCCGTATCATGCGTGAATGAACTGCTATCATGAAATTGATCGAAAATGAAGATTTGGCGTTGGTCCCTTCAGTAAAATTCAGGGCGTGTCCAAGCATCCGTCACGCATTGAATAGCAAGTTGATATATGTAGATCGTGAGCATACATCTTGGACGATTTGTTGTGTGATGTTCTTAGTACTGCCGTGCATGAGTGCTCTCACTGCTCTGCTCTGGCCGAGCACACCGTGATCAGGCACGTGCACGCCGCACGCGTGCGAGGTCCAGAGGTGCTGGCCGATAAGAGGCGTCGTGCATGGCTGTGTTGCACCGTGGGAACTGACCTGCCCGAAGCTCCCGTCCCCTCTGCCCCCTTGAGCCCGGCAAGGAGGCAGGGGAGGTGTCGCATGTTGCCCCACTTCGACCTGATTGAGAACGACCTCTGTGGCCGCCTTGCCAGCATTCCAACTTCAGCTCAACGTATTCGCCAAAACAATGACCAAGTGAAGAATTTAGAAGAATTTAGCGGCGAATGTAATGAGAACCGTGATAACAAGCGTTATCTTAATTGAATAGTAACAGTTAACAAGACGATTTTCTATTGACAGCTTACAAATAGAAAAAATTAAGATGTATTATCCTACAAAAATTAAGTTTAATTTCTTCTAAGCTGTGTCAATTGATCAGCCTGTAGCTACAGGATCCCTTAATTTCGATTAAAGTATCCACCCCCGAGGAAGCGTAGCGTTGTGAGAGAAATGTTAGCCATGTGAGGAGGAAGTGAGCTTTGTGAACTAAGCGCCCGTTCTTGGGATGTATTGCGTTACACTTATGCCTCGCCCGCAGCCCATGCCCTTCTCTTTGTTTCTGATCACCGCTCTTACCGCTTCGTATGGACACTCTTTGTGCGGAACGCTTTTGTGTACTCTTTTCATTTGGAACTAGTTTTCGCTCTTTTTACTTCTGTCGTTTGATTGCACAATGTACAGTTCCAACCTAAAGATTTTGCTTAGGTTCGGTAGAGTTCTGTGTATCATCGCCTAACGATAATCGGAGTGTGGTATAACGATCATCGCCGTATTAAGACCTGAGCTATGACATCTTCTCTAACGGCAACGTATACTCATATCGCGTGCTAAAATTCTACAGCAATTATCAAGATTCATGCATCGCGTCTAGTTTTCAAAGGGACTGCTGCTCTATTTCTAGCTAGATCAAGTCAAGATAAATTCTCTAGCTGCGTTTAAGAAGCGTGTAATGCGAGTTGATCGTTCGTGTTCATATCTACGTTGAGCGTGTATCAGGAGATAGTATATTAACTTGCATCTTTCAGTGCGTCAGCCTTGCATGCACTCGCTCCACTGCGCCGTCGTTTCCTTGCTCGCCTTTGTATGGTTGTGCGTTCGTTTGTACGGCGGTGTGTGCGTGTCTGTGTGCGTAGTATCTCTAATATTTTCTCTATTGAATAAAATCTAAGCTTTGGCCGCCATTTTGAATGGTTGAGCCGGCACACTCGCTCTCTATTGCCTTTCGTGTGATACCGCGGTAGTTTCTTCAGGACACTACTTGCGTTGTGACATCTACCATAATGCGTCTCTCTTTGTTTCTCTTCTCTCTCTCTGCCTCTGTCTCAGTCTCTCTTAATACCGTACCGCTTTGGCAGAAAGTTCGAATCCTGGTTTGTCAAACTGTTTGTCAGAGCCAGTCTAGGGCGTCAAGTCTATCTTGACGAAAGCGGGATTGACAATGTGTTGTCAATTTCTATTCGTTATTCATTATATAATTGCTCATCATTTAACTCGATTCCCTTCTATTCTTCTATTTCACATAACCTTGTAATGCTCAAGTCGGCCCAAGAATAACCCAGCCTTGTGGTCATTCTTTTCTCCACTTTGTAGCTGCTTGCTGGCTTTTTTTCCTAAGCAACTCAATCGGTATAAGTTCTCTCCAACGTCTCGAACTCCTCCATATTCACTTCTACTTGTTTGCCCAGTAAAAGTTGATACTTGACGAGGAAAATCGTATGAAGAGAATTATCTCCTAGAAATGCACGTTGGAGCCCGTCCTAATATGCCATGCTTGTTAACGTTTACCTTCTACCACCGCTAATGATGTTCAAAAGTTTCTTTTGACAATTATGAAATGTGACACTTTCCTCGATGAACATCAGTGGCTTGTGCGCTTGCACTGGTGTGCGTGTCCATTCGAAAAAGGCGCACATGTGTCGGTCGTGCTTCCACAGACCTACTTGGTAACGGTATTCGTTCGAGACCAGCGCAGCAGTGGTATTCTTACGGGAGTACTCTCAAGCACTGAGGTGCAGACAGGGCTCTTCTACACATTTCAGGAATGCCATTCATGCTGCCGCTGCTGCTGCTGCTGCTGCTGTCTGGTCTCTGTGCTTCTTTGCTGGGCGTACGGGAGAGGCTGCGTCCCACTTCCTGCCCGCTCTACGTTGCTTTCTTCTCTATTTCTTCAATTGTCTCATCGCCATGCCTTCTCCGTCCAGCCTTCACCTCATCGGATGGCCTTCTTTCTAGTGTGCTTTCTCTGTCTAGCTTCATCTTCCTTGTGAAGCCGTTTTCTCGTTGACATGCCTTATTATGATATCACTGCGCTGTCTAGCCTAATTATCCCTGTGCCACTTTTTCTCGCCGACTTGCTTTCTTCCTTCTGTATATTAATACTCTGCCTAGCCTTCTCATCTCTGCCTGACATTTTTACTGTCTGCCCTCTTTTCATTCGTTTTTGTTTGTCTAGCCTTCTATTTCTAGCCTTCTTTATTTCTCATCTTGCTATGAATTTTTTTGCTTTTCTTTTGCACTTCTCATCTATTTTGCTTGCTCATGACACTGGCCATCGAACTTTTTCCTGTTTCATCAAATTAACCCGAACTTACATTCTGTTATGTAATGATCCGTGGCGTTTTATTAACATGATCTTTTCGTTGCCATTGATATTAGTTACTTTTTTATTAACATTTAAAATTTCTCTCAAGTGCCACTGCGCATTTTTCGCCTCGACTTGCTTCATAATGACTAAAATTTGAAAACTCTCACATAAGCTTGATCATACCAGTGTCATGCAATGAAGACAGTATACGAATAAATAGGTGTATTATTGCATTAAAAAAAAATTTGTGGATGTTGTG